GTTTAAATTTACATGGTCACGGGAATTAGGTGATCTATGTGACATATATGAAGAACATCAAAGTGGTGAAGACGGTAACGGGTTGCTTGTTGAATCTGGGTGTGCTTGGCGCAAGTTGAATGTTCAAAGAATCTTGGATGAGTCAACTAAAAACCATGTTAAGATGCTGTCAGAGGAAGCTGAACGGAAGACTAAATCACGCAAGTATGTTACTAATCTCAAATAGTTTTATATTAAGTGTGCCTGGAATAAGTTTATTTCTTAAAATTATAGTTTTTCCATAATTGTCGTACTCTCTGGTTAAGCTGCTTAAAAATATTTTGCATTGAAAAAAATTTGGTTCTTTCTTTCACTTGGTACTGTTAATAAGAGTCTTTGTTGGTACTTCTCATTGATATATTTAGCTGCAAAGTTTTTATGATGGTTTAGTGCCAAAAACTTTTAGATCTTTGATTAGCCTTTTGTTCCTAGTGGTAGAGAAATGATTAAAAGATTTTGCTGTTAAGTAATTTTCTTATTTTTATATTTCAATTTTTTTTTTCTTATTTTTGCTATGTGATAGGGCCATTGTGTTAGATCCTGGGAACCCATCCATGAAGAGTCAAATAAAGCAATTGGTTGTCGTTGAGGGTAAGTTCCTAATTGGGATGGTTCGCTGCTTCCTCGTTTTCATGTTATCTATTTGTTTTCAGTTACTAGGAGTATAAAAAGTTACTATAAGTGTGATACTCTCCTCCTTGGCTTTGTTGAGAATTAAGAATTTTGGAAAGGAACTTGTGGTTTGTATCAGCATGATGAAGATCGCTGGTTGCTATTAAATGATTCGTCAAAGCTGACATTGCCCTCCAGAAATTTCCGGAGGGAAACTTGTTGTATCTTTATGAATTGAGATTTTAAGTTGAAATATCCAGTTTCTACATACTTATTTCCAGCAAATCCTTGGAGAATGCCTTTTAAACAAAAGAAAGAGCCTCCATTCAAAAAGCGGAAGGTTGATCCACCTCAAGGTACTTGAATAAAATTCTGCTCAACAAGTCAGACTTTAACCTGTCTTTATGTTCAAATGTCTAAAAGTAAAAGGAATTTCAAAGACATTTGAATTTTACTCCTGCTTTTGTCTTGATACTTGGGCAATTTTTCAGTTCCTCTTGTTTTGCTTCTGTTTAGTTGGAGTACTCCCTAAATCTGCTCACAAATCTGGATTAGCTTCAATTTCTATGGCAAAGGTTAGACGTGCAGCATCACCTCTACCATCACCCCCTGAGCAATCTGCTGCTCCAGTATCTCCTGTTGGCATTGGGAACATCACTAAGAGTCATGAAATCGATGAGGAATCACCCGTGAAGGTGAAGAGCAAAGAGAATGCTGCCAGCGCTGAAAAAAATGCCCCTAACAGGACTAATAGAAAAGTAGGGGAGGTCTCTGGGGGCAAAGTGAACCTTGGTTGTAAACCTGTGGATTTGCCGAATATGCTGATTACTCTCCTAAAGGAGCACCCAAAAGGGATGAGGTTGAAGGTAAGCACGGGGATAAGCTGTCTTTTTCTTTTTTTATAAAATTTCTATTCATTTTATAACCGTAAAGCAGTATTTTCCATAAGTTTTTTTTTTGGCTCAATTTCCATTATTTTTGAAGCCTTCTTTATATCTAACTTTCTTCACTCTATGCTATGTGGGTCTCTCTTTATATATATATATGTGATATATATATATATATATATATATTACCTTTTGTTTTTCTCCCAAGGATTTGGAGAAAGCTGTTGGAGATGTGATCCCTAATTCTGCAAAGAAGCTTGAACCAATCATAAAAAAAGTAAGTGGTGGAAATCCTTGATGCAATTCTTTTGAGAAAAGAACATGATCTTATGCATTCTTATTTAATCTTACTATCAGATTGCAACTCTCCAAGCTCCAGGAAGATATTGCTTAAAACCGGGAGTGGAATTGGACAGCTTCAAGAGATTTTCATCTGAAAGTGGAAGGTAGCTGCCACTTTTAAGCAACAAACTAGCCTAATCCTGTCATTTCTGTGCTAAGTTTATTTGATCTTTGTCTTCTTTTTTCTTCTTCCTGTCAGTTCGTGTTGTTTTCATTTGGGGTACAGACCACATGTGTCCTGTTCATTTTACCTTGTTGCTATGTTTTAAATATTAATGAAGGTAATAACTTGAAAAGCGATAAAGAACTGACAGACCTCGTCTGTTAGGAAGATTCAGGTGAAAGTTTCATGCAACACAGCTGCTGCTAAGGTTGCGAAACTGCAAATATTAGATGTAGGAGGATTATTTATTTATTTATTTTGCTATAGATATTTCACACTGGAATCTTGGAGATGACTTTGTTTTCAGCCTTCTCTTATTCAAATATCATGAAATGCGAAGGATTGAATTGTTATATGCAATTGCTTTTAGATACTGGTTAATGCTTCATCTGCCTTTTTTTTTCTTTTTTTTTTCGGCCTGGAATTCTCAAAACTTTGAGTTTTCTTCTCTCGTTTGATGCAGTTCCTTATCTATTCCATCGAATTTGTTTTCAGATCTCTTGCCTTTATGGTTTACCTTTTGTGCTTAAGCTTTATCCTTTTGGCTTCCTAGTGTACTTTTTTAATCTTCAAAAATATTTGTAAGCTAGGTACTGCTTTTGTTTGCAGTGGTCATCCTTGTATCATGTGTCTCAATGATCCTGTAAAATACATGTGTCTGGTTATATTCAACTTTGATGTGGCTACTTTTCATTAAACAGAGGACTTTGAGGCTTTGATGATGTCTCAGCTTCTAGTGGATTAGGGACAATTGGTTTCATACCTTGGCTATGACTTGGATCATACTATTTCCAATTAAGAATAGGAGAAGAAAGAAAAGGTTTTTAAAGACCAATTTTTTTAGTAGGTAAAGAACATGTTTTTGAAATAGTCTGCTGTAGTTGATCTGAAGATGTTACCTTTTTGTTGAGAAAATCTATATATATTTCTGTATATACATGCCATGTTTGTGGTAATAATGCATATCTTTTGCAGCTCACCTGAGGACAACAATCGCCAAACCCCTGATCCTGAAAAGAATCATGATCAAGTGCCTGCTCAAGTACCAAGCTTTGTGGAGAAAGTTCCTGTTGCAGATTCAGAGGAGCATGCACTAGCAAGGCCTAAACGTGGAGAAGAATCAAATATATCACAAAAGAATGATATCCAGCAGGATTCACCTGATTTTTTTGGTGAGAAAAAGGTCTCTGACAATAGTGATGGGCAGGCAGGAAGCTCTAGTGATAGTGGAAGCTCTACTAGTGAAAGTGACAGTAGTGATAGCGGAAGTGATAGTGGAAGCCACAGCAGAAGTAGAAGTAGGAGCAGAAGCAGAAGCTTAGTTGGGAGTGGAAGTGGAAGTAGCAGCGACAGTGATAGTGATGCTTCGTCCAACAGCAAGGAGGGATCTGATGAGGACGTGGATATCATTAGCGATGATGACAAAGATACCAAGCATAATTTACAGTCAACAGATCTGGGGTTCTCAACATTGAGTCCATGGCAAACCAATGATGACAGGTCTTTTCAAGAAGAAAGGCATGAGGGTCATGGGTCTGATGCAATTGACATTGAGGGTAATGGATCTGATGCAGTTGATATCGATGGACATGAATCTGATGCAGTTGATATTGATGGTCTTGGATCTGATGCAGCTGACATTGAGAAAGACATGGCAGATAATGAACGAGAAATTGAGATGGCTGTAGATACTAGTCTGGTTCCGAGAAAGGATGGAACACCTTTGGAAGGATTTAAACCCTTCACCTCTGCTCAAGATGAACTGCAAGAGCGCCAAAATTTTATAGGAAATTTGTTTGAGGACATAGAAAATATTAATAGTGCTACCTTCAGGCCTGAGCAATCAGACAGTTCTGAGAGGGCATCTAAAAGTAAATCCAAAAGGGGAACTGATCTGAATCAATTTAATGATAGATCCAGAAAAAGGAAAAGATTAAAAGCTGAAAAGCCTGAAAGCTTGAGTCAACCACCTATTTCTGGGGATAAAGATTTTGATTTCTCAGAGAGTGGATACAGTTTATCTCCTAATGGACTCATTGAAGACACTTATAAGTGTTCTGCCAGTCAAATGAACAGAAATAACAGGGAAGGAAATGCTAATTTTGGCACAGAAAGAAACCAGATATTGTCTGGAAAATCTAGTCCTGATCTTAAGCAATCAGGTCGCAGGGCTTCTGACCAAAGTGCACGAGCAAAGGCTCCAGATACAGGAGAGAGATCGGACAAACATTCGGAGGGATCTGGGCATGGTCGTAAAGGTTCTGAAAAGAGCTTTCACATCCAGGAAGGTTTTCCTGTTCAAAAAGAGAAGGCCTCTAGGGACGCTCAGAAAGAGGACAACTCTGTGAAGGAGAAAAGAATTTCAAGAAACCAGAAGGATGCTAGTGCTGGAGGCAAACATGCAATGGCTTCAGACACCCATCAAAGAAAACATGGTGAAATGGTTGGAAAGTTCAAGGAGGCCTTGAATTTTCCAGGTTTGGTCATGGGGTCTTCGCCACAGGATAACAACATAATGCCTCTAGATAGATATCCCATTAACGAAAGAAGTATGCTCCAAAGAGAGTTCTCAGACTTGGAGTTGGGTGAACTTCGTGAACCATTGCCTGAGGAAACACTCGGTAAGAAACAATTTGAGAGGAAAAATTCATTCAGGAATTCAGGAAACAAGCCAAGCAATTCAGAGAACAATACTTCTGAGTTAGGCAAAGGCAAAACTGTTGGAAAGGTGGCTTTTGATATGGGAAAGCCATCCCCGCTAAATCCAAGTGTTGGGGCTAAGAGGACCCCAGAACATCATGTTGAAAACTTGAACAGATCTCAACCTGTAGTTGCACAGCCCCAGCACCAATCTAGAGTTGATAATGTAGAAGTTGGATCACATTATAATAAATTGGCGGATGCAAGTAGGAAGTCTAGGCAAAATGAAAGTGGAATGAAACAAGGAGTCAGCCTAGAAGGTTATGGTGAGAGCCATAAGAAAGCACCTATGAATGGACAGCATGACTCAAAACGAGGACTGATTTCTCACTCCATGAGGGAAAATAAAACAAATGCATCTAATCCAATGATATGCTTGACTAATGGACGGAAGAATGTTAGTTTGATAGAGGGAAATGATGGTGGTCAAAAGAAAAGAGAATCTTCTCCAGATGAAGACAGTTCTTCGTATCTAAAGTATGAGAAAGATGAGCCTGAGCTCAAGGGACCAATCAAGGATTTTCCGCAGTAAGTAGTCATAATCAGCACTTATATGAATTTATCTAACTGCAGATTTATGGTGTCTGATGTAACTGATATGTTGTCCTTTGTTGTTAGGTATAAAGAATATGTGCAGGAGTATCATGATAAATATGAAAGCTACTTCTCTCTCAACAAGATTCTGGAGAGCTACAGGTAGCTGTGAACTCTTTAGATGTTATTGCTTTTCCAGAACGTTTGATGAACTGCTATTTTAGTTGTTGCCTAGGATTTTGCTAAATGAAATGATCTTTCTATCTTCGTCTCTCTATTTCGCCATATATATGATTATCTATGTATTTTCTTTCTTTTTCTAATTGTTTTAAGTGATAATCAGCTTATACATGTTACATGTAGGAATGAGTTCCAAAGACTGGGGCAGGAACTTGAGTACACAAAAGGCAGGGATATGGAGAAATATTATAAAATCTTGGGGCAGTTGAAGGAGTCCTATCATCAATGTGGGGAGGTATGTTTTGACCTATCCTCTTATAGATTCCCTAATTTTTTTAATAAAATGTTGTGTTCATGCCTTTATTGATGGTTCTGTTTAATTAGTTGGAGCCAATAACTTAGTGTTCTTCTATGGTAATCTAGATCACTTCAACTAGTGACTAGAATTTGGAAGCTTATAGAAGTTAGGAGTGATAACCTTGCCTTGGCAGAGGATTTTATTTTTACAGAGGATTCTATTTTTATGAGGGATGAGGATAGAAACAGGTTAACATGTGTAAGTGAGTTTCAAATAGATGGATTATGTGATCGATAAGAAGAATTTCCGATTAGATATCTGCAGGACAAGCATGGACCAGCTTGGATTGGATGGCAAGTATACTGCTCCTGTATGAGATTCTTGGCTTTTTCTCATTCGGGAGTATGAGAAAATTTTATATATTTTTGAAATATGAAAAAAAAAATTATATTTTAGTAATGATGAACAAATTTCAGCATGGGTTGGGTCATGTTCCTGGCATTTAATTATTTATTGAACTGATATCTTTAAGGGTTTTATGGAAATTAAGTGAGCATTGCTGTTGAATTTATATTCTTACTCGAACAGTGTTTTGATTTGTAGAGACACAAAAAATTGAAGAAAATCTTCCTTGTGCTTCATGAAGAATTGAAGGTGGTTCAACCAATTCTACCTGCTTCTTACTATTTGATTGCTGATAGCTCTGTGAGTTTCTTATTTTCTTCTGAAGTCTCTTTCCATTGATGCTGATGTCAATTTTCTCCTCTTATTGCAGCACCTTAAACAGCAGATTAAAGACTATGCGCTGTCATATGCAAAAAGCTGATAGTGCTTTTTATAGTGCTTTTACACGAGATGCCAGAGATGACCCTCCAAAAGTTGGTCGAATATTTCTGCTTCTGTCGGGGCCAAGGAATGTTTATTGATGTTAGTGTTGAATGATCAGAGCACGTGTAAATGATTATAGATTATTCAAACCGGAGGGTAGATTCCTGCTAACGTGTCTTGACAACACAATTTGTTGGTCCATGGGGCATCGAGTATACGCACTTGGGGTTCTTCTGACTCGTGCGTAAGACGTGCAATGTACTTCCAGCCCCAAATTTTGTTGTAGAGTCTTGGGCATTGTTTTGTTGCTGCACTGCTGCAACCATGCAAGCCACAAATTTTTGTGACATGTGTATAACAAATTAAAGATGGAAATGTAGTTAAATATGTTGTGATGATTCTGTAAATTGTTTTGACTTACGAGCTAGAATCCAATTGAATCTCTTGTACTTTTGTACATTTATCTTTCCATTAGTGAATACTAAATATGATTTATCACGGGTACATAACTTTTACATATATTTTTCTATTGGTGTGGTTAGGAACAGGTAGAAGAACGGCGATAGAGAACAAAATTAGCAGTATGTCTTAAAGCCAAACCGCAAAGCAATTTGATGGAACTTAATTATGTAAATAATTTTAGACTTTGGTTGACACAAGCTGGAATGGTTGTGGGAGACCTTAACATGATAGAAAAACGTAGTTTTCTTGAACGGAAAACGTAATTGTGATAAAGATTACAAAACTAAAGTTTATTGTTAAGTTTTTAAACTATTCTCAATCATAAGATCACGACTTTGTGATATTTGTAATCTAAATTAGATTGGTACGTGATGTATTCATTCTGATGGATGTTCGCAATTGACCATTTGTATATACGATGCACGAGCAAGTGTGAGTTCACCGAACTAGCTTGCGTGAATCTCAAGCATGTAGTGAGACGTAAATATTACCGTTCTATATTTTACACTTCTATATAGTTGTTAAGATATAAAATTTGTGTTCCATTAAATCCTCTTGATTGTATTCAATAAACCCAAATAACCTCATGCATATATATCTATAAATCCAGCAGGTGGTAAATGGTTTTGGATTTTACAATAAAAAATATTTAAAAATACACTGAAGGTAAGTTCAAAGCGGATCCTTTGGGGATAAAATAAAATCCCCTTGACGAGCGGCGGCCCATGATTTCGCATAATTCGGATCCGGGTTCGGGTCTTTCCTGCATATAAACTGAGAGACGGAACTCTATTGAAGTATCTTTGCCCTCTCTTCAAGCAAAACTATAAGCCAGACCAGACCCCTCCGTCGCCCTACAGAGATCTTTGAAACCCGTAGCAATCATGCTTACAGGTTTGTTTTTCTAGGTTTCGTTACTTATTGTTATCCTCTCTTGATAGACCGTTAATGCTTGTTACTTTTTATGTTCCTAAAATCTCTGGTTAATGTTACTCGTAGAGCTTAATTTTTGGTATGTTTTGAATTTTGTGAACTGAGTCACCTGCGACGATCTCCTTTTTCATGTTTGAATTATGAGATTATTGGATTTGATCGTCAGATTTTTTATTTATAGTTTTTTCGTTGAGGCTGGTTTTGTTATTGTATTTCATTTTTTCTTAGCTGTTGAGTTTTCCGAACTATGTTTAAATCCTTATTGGGTGAGATAATCGTAACGAAGTATTATTCGGAATTATCTTACTAAGTCTTGCTTGGATACAGTGTAGTAGTGAACATAAATAATGTGTTACTGCATGTAACAGATATTCTTTCTCAATGGAATGTTCATCTGTCATTACAAGTGAGAGGATGCCAATTGTAGTTTTCTGAAATTTTCTGTGCAATATGGAAATTCTAAGACATCTTTTGCCTTCCTTTTCTTTAAATTCATGAATTTGAATACATGCACCTGTAGGAACGTTAGTTTAGAAGTTTAAGTGCGACAAAGGTTGGAGCTTTTTTTTTAAAAAAAATGTATAAATCCTTAATTTGAATTTTACAATTCTAAACTTCAATAGAACTCAAAGGTTGTGGCTTTTATTCTAATTTTTTTAATTTGATGAATTCAAATGTTACAAAGTTGTGAATTTGAAGTACATGGAAGAAAAGTAAAATTTCCAATTTAGGTCTTTAAGGTATAATAAAAAAGATGCTAGACTTTCAAAACTTAGAGGGAATTTTAGAAGTTTTTGATTCTTCAAGCTTTTAGATTGTATTAGAAATTCTGGGCTGTTAGTTTTTTTTTTTAGCAATAAAAATGATCCACTTGTTGCTTGATCTAATTTCATGCCTAATCTTTGGCAAACATTTTGTCATCTGGTATCATGTGGTTTTGTTGCAGTGAGTGTAAAGTGGCAAAAAGAAGTGTTTCCAGCTGTTGAAATTGATACTAGCCAGCCCCCTTACGTTTTCAAATGCCAGTTGTATGATTTAACTGGAGTACCACCTGAAAGGCAAAAGATAATGGTTAAGGGTGGTCTGTTAAAGGTATGTAGGCTGCTTGAATATGGATCTCCAGTTCATCATGCTGCAGTTACTTGGATGAACATTACCAGTTTGTGAATTGATTTATGTGCCTTACCGAAGCTGACTGCTAACTTTTCTGTATCTTTATTTTTGCAATACAGGATGATGCAGATTGGTCAATAGTAGGAGTGAAGCAGGTGAATGCCCTTGGTGGTGTATTCATCTCTAATTCCTGTGAACTTGTATGTGTGTGCATTTAGATTCAGGTCCAGTTATTTACTCTTCTTTCCTTGCAGGGGCAAAAATTGATGATGATGGGAACTGCAGATGAGGTCGTGAAGGCTCCAGAAAAGGGCCCTGTTTTCATGGAGGATCTTCCAGAAGAAGAACAAGTGGTAAAGCTGGTAAGAATTATGCATTTTTTCACTTATATCAAACAATATTGATAATTTGTAATGAAGATGTCACATTGAAGGATTCGCAAAACCAGAAAGTAGATTAAAGAAAACTGTCAAATTTACTTTATTCTCCTTGTGGAACATGTGGCAGCAAAGGAACTTGCTTTTGCTGGAATAACATCTAAACCAATAGATTTGTCTTTTTTCATACAGAACAGCGGTTGAATAATTTCTTTTTAGATAATCCAGTCTAAACCTATTCTTTGATTGAGACTGGGCTGAGTTATGTAACTATTACCTGAAAAAACCACATTGTTTTCTGAAAGATATAACTTTTTCATGCTTGGACTCAGAAGGTAATACAAGCTGTACCTTAATCCATGCATGAGTTAAAATGCACCATTGGTCAACATGAACGAAGCTGCGGAGTCATGTGGCCAGGACTTGTATTTTGTGTCGTATCAGTAAAGGCATAGATACAACATACTGCTTGTCATAACCATAGCCTCCCCCGTTGATGATGCCTGCCATTGCTGTTGGTTGATGGGTAGACTTGGTCAATGGGTGAAGTTACACCAAGTATTCTAGTTTCCTTATTGAGAATGAAGGGGGAAGAAACTCTCATTGTTCTCTCAAGTAAAAACATTTCATAGAGAAAATCGGAGAAGATAAAAAAAAAATAATGGGGACGGCGTGGGAGCTTCCAACATTAATGAAAGCTTTCCATATCCGCTCCTCTCGTTATCTTGTGGATTGCGTGGAAAGAAAAGAAGACTTCTAAAAGGGTGAGTAACCCCCTCAATAAAAGTATGGAGTTTTGTCATAAACTCACAAGTATCTAGATTAATGTTTCTTCAATAAAAGTATGGAGTTGTTGTTGGTGAACGGGTGTTTTTTATGCAAAAAGGAGGCAGAGTCGTGTAATCACATCTTCTATGGTGTCTGTTTGTGCATAAATTGTGGACCTTTGCTTATGGACTACTGGTCATCAATTGGGTGATGGCTGGTTTGGTGAGACAAGAAATTTGGGCGTGGAAGAGTATTATGGAGTGAAGAAATACTTTAGCCTCATTCCCCTTGCTATTTTTTGGGTGTTGTGGAAGGAGAGAAACATGAGAACGTTTGAGAGGGTGGAAGATGTCTTTGATAGAGTTAAAGAAGGATGATTCTAGATTCTGGGCTTTTTAATTATGGGTCATCATCTTTATTCACTGGAGGATTTTGGAGATCTTATTGACATATTGATTTATATGTAAATACTTTTGTGCATGAGTTTGCACCTTCTTAATGTTTGTGAATGAATCATATCATACTATTTTTATTTTTATATTTTAAAAAAGGAAGACCTAGGATGCCTTATAGACTTTCTTTTCCCATATAATTTTAGAGCCATATGTTACGTACCCAAGAGACACCCTCTTGTGCATTGTGAGTCATGAGTTACTTATAAAAAATAATCAATTTTTTCAAAAAGTTCTGGGTTATTTCTTTTACTTATTTGTTTACCAGTCAATTTTTTTTCATTCGTTGTAGCTCACTTAAGCTTTATGGACTTGAATGGACCCTTTTTTTTTCTTTTTGCTACCTGTTATTCCTTCCAATTTAAGATTCTGTGGCAATGTTGTCCATGCTCCCAGGGTCACAGTGCTGGCCTATTTAATCTAGGAAACACCTGTTACATGAACTCTACCGTACAGTGTTTGCATTCAGTTCCAGAGTTGAAGTCTGCCTTAATTAAGTGAGCACTCTCTTCTATGTTTGATTTTTTCCTACTATATGTTTTTGGTAAATATCTATATGATATTTTAGGAGCTATATATAACATTTGCATGCTTTTTATATAAGTGAGATCTAGTGTTCAATGCATTAATATGAATCAGGTACTCACTTTCTGGAAGAAGCAATGATTTGGATCAGACCTCTCACATGCTGACTGTTGCAACACGTGACTTATTTAATGAGCTTGACAAAAGTGTCAAGGCTGTGGCACCAATGCAGTTCTGGATGGTTTGTTATGTTCTTCTGTCACACAATTTGAAGTGCTCCTTTTTGTTAGAACTGTTTTTGCAGTGCTACATTGTGTCTCTCCTATTGTTGAAGTTTTTCATAACTGTGGAAGTTTTCAGGAAAACAATATATAAAAATTACTCTCAAGGTTATGCTGTGTAAAGAGAAAGGTCTCTTGGAAAAAAGAAAGCCTAGGAGAGCTGTTGCTTTTCTGAATTAAGGGATATATATATATAATCTTATTAATTGCTTATCTTATCATGTGAAAACCTTGGCTGCATCTTTTTTTTTTCTTTCCCAATAGGTAAGAAAGCATATTGTAAGATAAATACCCACACTACACACACTGTGTTTAAAATAAAGTAGATAATTTTTAATAATTTTGTGTTGAGACAGCATTTTGTATTTTTTTTTTCTTCTTTTGATCCTTCTCTTTCTCATTCTCTCTCACTCTCATTTCTTTTGGAGAATAGCTTATTATCCCTTAACTTATAACTTTTTTGGGTAGATTGTAAGGGGAAACTTGGATTCTTTCTCTCACTCTCATTTCTTTTGGAGAATAGCTTATTATCCCTTAATTTATTACCTTTTTGGGTAGATTGTATGGGGAAACTTGGATTTTGGGTCTAATTACAACTGGATTCATCAATTTGAAAAAGTTACAACTTATTCTCAGTGTTTGAAACAAACATTACAACCCAGTCCCATTGAGATGTTAGAATCACCATTGGAACATGACTAGGTCTTTTTTCCCCTCAAGTGGGTACATTTCAAACTTAAAAGAAATGTGAAATCTTGATACGAAAGGGAAAAATCTAGGAAGGAAACTGGAAGGAGAGTTTGAAGAACTGCGATAGGAGAAACTTGATAAAAGTTCAGAGAAGTTTGACTGGAAGTATTTCTGTATAGATGTAATTTGAGAAACTTGAAAAAATATGTGTTTACAAAGTGTTGATAGTTTGGATGATTTGCAAAGAAAATATAGGTGATAACACAACATAATCAATTACCTAAAATAGCTCACATAACGAGTACTTTGCAATTCATTAGAACAATCACAATTTCCATAACCACATTAATATATATATATATATATAAATTCGAAATCTTCAAATAAGATATATGCATACCAGATCTTATCAAGCTTCTCTAAATTTTAGTCAAGTTTCTCCACATTGAAGTTCCCAAACTTTCTATTTTTAGCAAGATTTTTCAATTTTCTTCAAGATTTGTTTTTCTAAAGAGGGATTTGTCTTGTGGCTTCTCGAGAAAGAAAGATTGATTTATGTTTTAATGCTTCTCTAATATTGAGCAAGATTTTTATAATTTCTTCAAAATTTGTTTTCTTTTGAGGGATTTGTCTTGTGACTTCTCGAGAAGGAAAGTTTGATTTATTTTTGTCATTTGGCTTGGACTTGTAATATTTGATTAAAACACAGAGATTAAGTTGTAATTTTTTCAAACTTGTGGACTCAGTTATAATTTAAGTTCAATATGTAAGGAGTTCCATATAACTTATCCAATTTTATTTCTCTTTTCAGTGGTACTTTTTCTATTACAAAAAATTATTTTGGTGATACCACCCTGCAAAATTTTTTACCATTAAATAACTGAATCTTTCAGAGGTTTTCTCCTTTTATAAGTAGAAGAGAATCTAAAAATAAAAGAAAATCTGGATGACAAAAAACTGTCTTAGGCCCAGAAGTAGCATGCATATGAAGGGGGAGCCCTCATGCATCCCGCCCCCCCACCCCAAGAGTACCCACAAGAACTGTTGGTAGGACAAGAAGATGATTCATCATCACTCGGAAGGGGTTCATACTGCATATCATTCTCTTTGTTGGGACTCTTTTGTGAATAGTCTCTGTAGATGTGAGTCATAACTCATTCTATTCTCTGTCTGTAAGATTGTTGCCTCAATTTTCAGGTGTTGCGCAAAAAGTATCCTCAGTTTGGCCAGTTGCATAATGGTGTCTTCATGCAGCAGGTTTTCTTTTTTCCAGTGATGTTTATCTGATTTTCTGCAGTATATCTATCCTTTTAAATCTCCTAGTTTGCTGATATGTAGGCTTTTGAATGCTACAGGATGCTGAGGAGTGTTGGACACAACTTTTATACACACTTTCTCAATCACTTAGATCACCAAATTCCAGGTAGCTTGTTTTCCTTGGCTATGGTGATGATAAAGAGAACACGCATCAGTTTACCTGGTGATTTGGTCAAGTGTAGTATATCTATTAAAAAATTGTATTTTTTATATCATATTTAACCTGAAAATATTTTGTTTTCCAGCTGTATGTTTTTTGAATTTCTCTAAACTCAACTGTTTTACTATTATTTTAAATTTTATATAGTGTTTTCTGTTGGTCTGCAACTTATTATTAATACTTAGCTAAACAGTAATAACCTTTTATGCAGTGAAAGTCCCAGTACCATCAAGGCACTTTTTGGCATTGAACTTGTAAGCAGGTGAAGATTGAGAATTTCTGATGCTGTTTTCTCCTAATTTATCTTCTCGCATTTTATCCATGCTATGGGTATTGCTTTTGCATGATGGGCTCAAAAATTGTTATCCATGTACACTTTATTATCATATGTTCGGAGATCCATATACTAAATAAATTTTTTAAATAACTTTTGTTGGGAATTCATCAGTCTCCTATTCAAAGTTTTGTTGGAAATTTAAGATTATCCAGGTTCTCTAGTAGAATATGCAAAGTTTGGCAGTAAAACAAAATTCTTAAGTAATGATTAGGATCCCAACCATCTTCTTTTGTGGCCACCGCCTAAATTCCACTATTCACAGAATTAGAGGGTTGTGGTTCTCAAATCTTTGCATTTGGCGAGGGTTATCCCCTGTACAACATGAAGATGTGTTTGACAAGTTGTAAATTCTGTTTGTAGATGGGTACCGACCTCTTCAATCATTATGAATAAGTTTTACTCACTTTTAACAAGGCCTAAATTTTGACAAACTGGAAATCCATTCTTCCATCTAATTGGGAAAAAGAATCCCAAGAAAGAATTTGATGTCTATGTGGCAGTATACAGTAGAAATCCAGCTTCCAATCTTCCCTGATTGTTTTCTTCTTGTTTGAAGAGCTGAAAATTAGAAAAGACAAAGAAATTAGAGGATTATTATAAGATTTGTTGATTTAGGTGTGCCTAGATAAAAAAGGAACGAGAATATTTAGTTTAGGTGTGTATTGGAAGGAAAAGTTAATTTATTCTTTTTTTTCCAATCCCATTTTTTGTTGACAAAATAATAAGTTAGATACTTGAGGGGATAACCGACAACTTATGCCTAAAAATTTTAAATCCTTATTGTCTCCTACTTTTCCTCCAATTTGTAGGAACAGGAAAAATAAATGTTTGAGGGAGAAGTGAGAGGTACTCAATATTCCTCTCTTTGGCTCATTCCCTCTCCCACCCATTTTAAATTCATTATCCAAACAAGTATATGATGGTTCTTTCCCCATACTTTCCTTTTTTCTTCTTCTTTTCTGAGTTGAAACTTAATATAAATCTTAGCTTCTGGTCCGGGCATTAGGTGTAGGTAAATGTTTACTATATTTTATAACAGGTGAAAATAACGTGTAAAAAAATTCTTTGTAATTATTGATAGATGATTCAAAACATCTAATGGTTATCTTAATGATGATGGGCAAAGTAGGAATTTCTTAAAAGACTTAAGTGTTCTTAGGGTTAAATACTTTGTTTTTGTTCAGTTTTCCTTCTTTAATTGATTTTCTAGTTTGGTAGCTTTCTTTAAGGCATAACATTTCCTTTATTGTCAGGATTACTTTTCTAGAACTCCTATTGAAAACTGCTACTAGCATATCAATAAAAGTGACTGCTTATTTCTCTATTTTTCCTAGTGGCATACCCATGAGTCAAGCTGTTTGTTTGATCAATTCTCTCAGATGCTCTATTTTCCCTTATAAAAAAACTCTCTTTTTGCCACAGCAAATTGATACTGGGGCTAACAAAAGAGATCTTATTCAGTTATCAAGGCAAGGTGAAAAAGAGTTGTTAGACTAATCCAAGCCCAACAGATTTTAGATGCCAAGGAACTATGCAGAAACTATGCAGCAGTTGAAAATGTATGAGAATAAATTGTGATTCGTTAGACCTATTTGAAAATGCATTTGAGGAGAGTGAAGCATATTAAGATTGGAACTCACGACTACCAGTCAATGATGAGTGTCCTCACAATGAGATTATTCACCCTCTGATTATCAAGATGATTGTCAAGGTGTTGAGGATAAAGGTATTTGTCAAGAATATGGTAAAATGCTTGAGCATTCCTAGTCAATTTAATTGTGAAAACACATAATTCGATGACATAAGGAGGCGTCATAGCAAAAAAAGTGAGACAAAAAGTTCATACCAGGATGCTGCTAATCATAAGCTGTACAGAAACCCATGAGGCTGCAACGTGTTTAGACTTACATATGCGATGTATATGGATAACTGAAGTATCTGTTGCTCGTGAAGGGAAAAGTGATACAACTAGCAAGTGACAGGATTATTCAGAAATCCAATTGATCATGGAAATGAAAGTTAACTTGAGCTCAGGTTTTTCCCAATATGCAGGATAATGATACAAGTCAAAGTAGAAACTTCCTCAAAGATTTAGGAACCGTTACATTTATGTGCTCTTCGGACTTATATATGTTACTATTTGGAACTTTCCTATGAAGGTTGGTTTTCCAAATTAGGTAAATTTCCCTTTTGGTTAGGATGCTTTTCTTGTATTTCTATAAGAGCTAGTACCAGCTTATTAAATAGGCTTCTATGCTATAGAGTAGGAATTAATAGCTTTCTATTATTCAGTTTTAATAATTGATAAAATTTCACCCTGTTTTCCTGGTTTCGGTACTGAAAGAGTCGAACACTGGTTGATTAATTTCACCTACTGCACTGTTTTTCTCTCTCAATAACTGTCTTTCACTCCGTCACTTATATGCTATTAACTATACTGGTTAAATGTGTGTTGCCTTTGCTAGATGGGAAACTAATAACTTGATGTTCAATTTCTGTAACACTGTATTTGCTTCAATTCACATCCAATTACTATTCAATTCCAAGTTTTAATGCTCATATTAATCTTTAATATGTATAATAAGAAGATAAATTGTTGTGTTTCAACTACCACCACTCCCACTTTGAATTCTTTGGTGATGGGAATTCAACTCCCATCTCGAAGTTAGGAATTGAATTTCCACCTTTAAAGAACTCAGGCGGGGTGGTGGTAACTAAAATACTAGAAATTCTGTTTTATTATCCTTTATAAACGAATAAAGATTTTTGGGATCACTATTATGTTGAGATGCATCATACGACCAATAAGTTAATTCAAGATTTTACTATCACCTTTTAGCATAAAAAAGCGAACTTTCTCTTTAAAGTCGGTTGGTTAGGATAGAATTGGATCTTTTTTTATTATATGTTTAGGTGATTGGATTTTGGAGACAAATGATGGAAATGGATTAACTCATGTATCGCTACAGCTTGTTCCGCGGTTATGGTTAATAGGGGTCTGTCATCTTTCTTTAATGCCTCCAAAGGCCTTAGACAAGATGATCCATTGCCCTTTTTACTAGTTATTGTTGTTATTGAAGCTCTAAACAAAATGTTGTTAAGGCCAAAGAATGGAGGTCTTTAAGGGATTAAGGGTGGGTGAGGATACATTTGGAGAAGGTAACTCATTTATTTTTTGTTGATGATATCTTATTATTTTGTGAATCGGATAAGAGGGTCCTAATTAACTTTAGATGCATTTTGCTGAGTTTTCAAGCAATTTCTGGCCTCAGTATCAACCTCTCGAAAGTCGGGATTTGTAAGATTCGGTGATGGGAGGGATGCTACCAGACTAGCAAGGATTTTGGGTTATAGAAGTGTGGATTTGCTAATCAAATACCTGGATTACCATTAGGGGCTAAATATAAAAATGTGGCCGACTTGGGACCCTATGGTGGTGAGGTTTGAGAAGAGATTGACTGGATAGAAGTGAAACCTCTTGCCTGAAAGGGGAAGACTCATACTTATTAGAAGCATGATGACCAACATCTCCATTTACTATATTTCCATACTAATAGTCCATGTGAGTGTAGGCAAGAGACTAGAATCTATTCAACAGATTCTTATGGGGCAAAACGGAGGACATAAAGAAGTATCACTTTTTGGTTTACAAGTCAGTTAAAATTTCAAAGACTTTCCCAAAATCATTCCACCCGTAAACATCATGCCCCAGAATCAGAAATCCAAAAGTATACAGTCATCTATCTCTAATTCTGCCAGTATCTCTCACGCACCCATCAAATGCTCTATTGTTTCTCTCTTTCCATACCACCTAAAAAATAGTCAAAGGTATAAGTTTTACAATTTTCGATTTCTTACAAATTCCACCCCAAGCCCAAATTTTATCCTTAACCGATCCCGCAATAACCCAATAACTAATAAACCATATGCCAAATACTATAAGTAACCAGACACCAGAGGAAAAGGTGGTTGCAAGATTCAGCCGCATCTTTACACAAATAACATCCATTAACCAAAATGGTAGTTTTGGATATTCATGAATGAAAATGGTAGTCTTTGATGGGGGGTGATAGAGGCAAAGTTTTAGATTGTGGATAGATGGTGGTATATCAAGTTCTCGTATAGACCCCTTGGAAGGAGATGTGGAAAAAAATATGCATGTGCAGGAACAAATTCTAGGATTGTATTAGCTGGAGAGTTGTTGCTAGGGACAGAATTAGCTTTTGGCACGATGCCGATTGAAGGGGGAGTCACTCAGAATAGTTCTTCCAGATCTGCCCTATTGAGCGACTTATAGACCTGTTAGTTGTATTGTAATAGAGCTCATGCTTGATATAAATATTAGGTTGTATAGGCAACAAATGAGGTCGGTTTGTTAACAATTGATGAAAAAGGGGGAAAAATTTAAGAATTTATTTTAAAAGAATAAATGTACTCATATACTTAATTTGTATTATATTTCACTATTCTTCTTTTTTTTTTTTGTATCATTAGAGTTTTACAACCTAATACTTTGTAAGATTAGAACACTACATGCCAATGTCTTGTAACATTATAAATAACACATTTATGTTTTTTTTTAAATAATAAATAACACATTTATGTGATTGTATGTGATTAATAAAATCCCTGTTGAGTACTTCTCCATACATGTTTATGCTATTAGAGCCTGGTTACACAAAAAAATATGACAATAGAGATTCGGAGAAATCATAATAGATTAAATATGAGTATATTTATGTCTTTACTTTATATCAAAAAATATGTCTTTACATTCCTCTTCTATATCTTGCATCTTTAGTATTTTTGCCTGGTGGATACATTATCCATATTAAGACCAAAAGCAATCTAACAGTCTAAAAGATGTGGTTTCATATGAACCTGTATTTGTCCTCAAATTGGCTTATCCAAAATGTGCCAGGATCAGAGATGTGTTAAACAGCAGTCTACCTGTCAACGTGGTGTCCCTTATTTGTGGTTTCTATTCTGTTTTGGTAGGACAATCTCTAAAGGCAGTTTATGTTTTGAACTCTAGGGTACATTGTCAAGAAAGTGGTGAAGAAGCTCAGAAACAGAGTCAGTTCATTCGCTTAAATGCCACATCTCACAAGAAGTGAACCACTTGCATGAAGGATTAAAGCATGTAAGTTTACCATTTACTTAATCAAATAACTCTGTGGTCCTCCCTCATCATTATTGTTATTTTATTATTATTTTCTGGCGGGAGCAGGGGAATATCAATGGTATTACTGTTAATAGTTTCCATATATTGTTAGTAGTTCCCATATAATGTTTTTTAGCTATATATTTATGCTTCAACATTTTCTTTTGGTGTTATGCCCATTTGCCAGGATCTTTTTTCATCTAAAGTATTATGTTACTGTTCTCTCTCTCTCTCTCTCTCTCTCCCCTCTCTTTCGTTGTCCACTTTCTGTAATAATGAAGCACTTAGATACCTAAATTCTCAAAAATTCAGTCCATAACACAGTGAAATTCAGTCCTTCAACAAGTTTTATTCACATTGAAGCATAAATCTGGCGCAAGTAATAAAGTAGTTGATGCACTTAGCAATGTGATTTGTTGTTGACTAATGTACACGTTCAAGTGTTTGGTTATGAGAAGCTGAAAAGTCAGTATCAAAATGATTCTCTTTTCCGTGATGTAATGAAAAATATATACCAGTTCCTTGTCTACTTCTTTCACTCTTCATGATGGATATTTATTTGGGTAGTCAATTATGCATTCCAGATGGTTCTCCTTGCAAGAGCAAATCATTTGGGAACTTAATGGAGGTTGCTTAGGAGGAAATTTTGGATGTGATAAATCTTTTGCTATGGTGACATAGCATTATTATTGACTTAAAGTTAGGTGATGTTGAAAGCTTGATAAAACAATGTCGAGGATGTCAATATGCTAATGGACTTTCTGGTTTGTACACACCACTACAACTACCTACCCATCATAGGTTCATTTAACCATGGAGTTTGTTCTTGGATAATGACAGAGAGACGCTCTCTAACTTCTGGGAAAACCAAAATCTTTGATTCAGCTATTTAGAATTTTTTTTTATCCTACAACATATTCCCCGAATCACCCTCCTTTTCTGCAAACGTCAAAGACCTTTTAGTTATTATGGGCTTTCTTCTAGCACACGAGTTAAATTTTCATTAGAAGGATCAATTGTCCTATAATTTACAATGCAAATAATTTTCTGTTACAATTGCAAAAGTTAGTTATTTCTTTCCAAAGGTTGTAGTTCACCTATGCAAAGTAATATTTTATATTTTTTTGAGGAACTGCAGAAAAACTTTCTAGAAGCAGCAGCAGGAGCCACCAACATAATGAGACTCCAATTTTTATGCATAATCATTGGTAGGCTTTTCAGATGAGAATGGTTTTCGTGCTTACTGTTGGCACAACCTAATTAGACTCAGATGTTAAAAAATGTAATATATTAGGTGTTTGTTCAATTTCTTTTTGAGTTCAAGGCTGCAAAGAGGACAAAGCTAATGCCAGTGTAGAAGATAGGACTTGAACGCCCTCTGACTGGTGCTTAGAGCCATCTTTTGCCACTTGAACTCAGTAGCTCAGGCATATTTGTTGTGTGTTCATTATTCTTTGTGTGTTGCGCCTTTACATTACAAGTCTGCTATTGCAGATGTTTTGTTGTGCATGAATAGATCAACACTTTATATTCCCCTCCCCACCTCTGTTAAGCTCGTTCTGATTGTCTTCCATTTAATGATTTGACCTCGTCTTATTTTACTCTCTTTTTAGGGTTTGAAATCCGAGCTGGAGAAGGCTTCTCCCTCTCTGGGCCGTAGTGCAATTTACTTGAAAGAGTCTCGTATCAATGCTTTGCCAAGGTTCCTATGCATCCAACTCTACATTATGGACTTTTTTGCTGTTTCCAATACTAGTTCATGGTTTTAAAAAAAAAGCATTTCTGTTTCTTGATTCCGTTACTTTAATATTTTGGTCCTTCACTGCTTTCATTTTGTGACTAGTTGTTTGGGTGAAAACTTTCTCATAGCCTATACTTTTGGATTGAAGGTACATGACCATTCAGTTTGTTCGTTTCTTCTGGAAGAGGGAGTCTAATCAGAAGGCCAAAATTTTGCGGGTATGCTAGTGAAAATATATGAATAATGAACATCATGGAATTTTGAAACAGTCATTTCATTATGGTTCTCTAAATGTTTTTGTGCTTCCTAGAAAGTGGATTATCCATTGGAGTTGGATGTTTATGATCTTTGTTCAGAAGATCTTCGTCATAAATTGGAAGGTCCTCGCCAGGTATTTCTTTTGTGTTTTGACAAGTTTCAATCTGTTGAGATGTTGGTCATGTAGTTGTAACATTTCTTGGAATTGTCAGATCCTTAGAGATGAAGAGGGGAAAAAGCTTGGTTTGGGAGCTGCTCAGAAGAGTGTTTCAAAGGAAAATGATGTCAAAATGTCTGATTCAGAGGTATGTATAACCTGTGTGTATGCATGCATACTAGTGCGGACATCTGAATGCATAAAATCCTTCAGTATATCTGGTAGATATTAAGTCTTTAATGCATCCAGGGATCATCAAATTGCAGTGGAGAATCATCTATGGTAGCATCTCAAGAAGGTAAGGTCTTCGTATACTGACATTTTTGTCTTTTGGTGGGTTTTATGCACATGGTGTTCCAAATTCAGGAGGTTGCTGTCCTCCTCAGATTCTGTTTTTTAAAGTAATATTGTTGCATTTTTGGACTCTAAGGTAGCATCCGGTGCCACCAAAATCATACGATGGACATTGCAAAAGAATTTAGTCGTATGTCCAGTGGCATAAAATGATAATTAGAGCAGAACAAAAAAGTAACATCAAAGGAACAAGTTTGTTCCTTCATTTTGGTGGGACAAAATTATTTCTATGTTGGAAACTCAATTTCTATTTAACTTCCCAAAATTATCCTTGTACATCTACTTTGAACTCTATTGTACATTTACTCTTGTAAAAAACAAAGCCTTTTAACTTTATTTAATTTTTTATCTAACATTTTCCTATAAATCTGGTGTTATTTATGTGACAATTAGATTTAATATGTATATTGTTTTAATAAAAAAATTATTTATATAAATAGTTTGAATTTTGTCAAGAGATTTATTAATAAAATTAAAATTAGTTAGAATTATTATTATTATCATCATTAAACGATAGAATTATACTACTTTAATATGAATGTATATTATTTTCAATTAAAACTAAACATAGAGATAATATAAAGGGCACTTTAGTAATCACCCACAGTAATTTGTACTGTTCCCTTGACTGCCAAGCATAAAATAGGACGAATTTGTTTAGACTAGTTTCAGGCACACCAAGCATATCACTTTGACCTCATCTTGTTCTATTCTTTGTTATTTAGTTTTATCTTGTTCAATTATTTTATTCCACCAAATGTTGGCTAATCCTAAGCTGGTAAATAGATTTTTTGTCATGTAAATTATCTAGGAGTATAATTTTCTACATCAAAGTATGAACCTGGACAAATCGAGGCATGCGAGTTTTTAAACTTCATGAAGCTCTAGTGAATCAAGTTTTTAAAAAATATGATAGGGAAAGGTGTTTAGCCACTTCAAAGAGATGCTTCCCTGGAATTCATACAAGGAAGTGCTTTTCTTATGATGAATTACATTTTTGTCTGATTGCTGATTGTGTGCCCTAGATGGTTCATCTGACAAGGAAACTCATTTGACTGGAGTATATGATTTGGTTGCCGTGCTGACACATAAGGGCAGGAGTGCTGATTCTGGCCATTATGTGGCGTGGGTCAAACAAGAGAGTGGTCAGTTCCCTGAAACATTGAATTCACTTTGCCACTAATTTAAATTCAAATGTTGTCGGAACTCCTCATCATCTTCAATTTTTCACAGGGAAGTGGATTCAGTATGATGATGATAACCCTAGCCCTCAGAGGGAAGAGGACATCACAAAACTTTCTGGAGGAGGTTAGTTCATGTAGCCTCAATCAAAGCTTGTCATGTACTGATCGTAACTTGCTTTTTCCAAACACCTCTATCCTCCAGTGTTCACTAATCAGTAATCATAGATATTCTTGGTTTCCAATTGACTTTGAATTTCTACTTGTAGATTTGACCTTTAATTCGTGGAACAAGGACCCTGTCATCAACCCATCATTTTGTTTTTATATGCTGATGAATGATGCTGATTCTTTTTTGATTCTTGGTATCAGGTGATTGGCATATGGCATACATTTGCATGTACAAGGCCCGTGGTGTCTCCATGTAATTTTCTTTTTCTTTTTTTCTTAAGAAAAAAATCATTCTTCTTTCTATTTTTGGCTGTAGTTTCAGGTTCTGTTTATTTATGTTCTTTACAGAGAGACCGTCATGGTCGAAAGAATGATAAAAATGACTACATAGATACTTGCAGAGTTTGCGCTGTTGTATTATTGAAACTTATTATTATTGGTGCTGGACCCTCTTATTCTGGCTGTGTTTTTTTAATGACCGAGTTGAAATGCAAAAACATTCATATCAAGTCAACAAATAGTTTCTTGGTTGTCAAGCTGATAGAGTACCAATTATTTCCAACACATAATCCACCATTAGTGATTTCTCCAGGTTCCATGGTTACAGTTTGAATCAGCCATGCCTAAATTATGGTCTTTTTGCTAGAGCAATTTGGTATTGCAGGGAGATAAATCACATCTTAAGAATGCCTTACAATTGTAGCTATACCAAATCATATTGCCTCATACCAAATGATGCACATCAATGCTGTTCTGATAGTAATACATTACATACATGTATAATTTCATCACAGGCTAAGTTCCAGCACTGGTCATCTGGGCTTCTACTTGTTGAATGAAACAGTGGGGGTCCTAAAAAAGCTGGTTTTTTACTTACAATGGAGACATGATTCCTTCATAAAACAAAGTTTTTGGGTTATGTTTAATCTGTAGTAGTTGAACAGCAAGGGATGCTGTCAAACAATTTGACCAGAGGAAACTAAAAGCTTTAGAGGTATGAGAAATCTAATCCAGTCTTAAGATTTTACATCAAACTGAGACTAGCTTCCAAATAAAAACCCTAATGGCCTGTCACCTACAGTGTTATTATTATGGTATGCTATATGATATGATTTTATAATATTATATGCTAGCAAATAAGTTTGCAATCTAAAGAAAACCCCAAACTTTTTTTAATAGCCATGATTAGGACTTTTGGGGGTGAAGTTTATGTAGTAAAATTTAACCTCTCTCTCTCTCTCTCTCTCTCTCTATATATATATATATATATGTATGTGTGTGTGTATTTTATTTCCTATAGTGCTATATATACATACTTATAATGTTACTTGAAAGCTGATTTCTAAGCTATTTTGTGGCTTAAACTTAAGTTCAAGAGGGGCAAATTCGTGTGTCTGTTATAACTGTGATATCATATTCTCGTATAAAAAAATATATGTGATTACTGAGTTCGTAATATCTGATAAATCAATTTAATTCATGTATTACTAATAATTTGAATTAACATTTTTTTTTTTGTCATTCGATCGCGATATCGTTACTGTTCGTACAAGTAGTTTTTAGAATATATTTTTTAATTCAGAGAGTAAATTAAAATAAAACTCGATTGGTTAAATTATGAATTTATCCGAGACCATTGTCCGAGTAATTTTTATTTTTAAAATATTTGTATTTTTTTTTACAAATTATTGAAAATAATACAAGAAAATAAAAAAGAATTAAAGAAGAGAAATTTTGTTCTAAGGTTACATCTTGAGCGAGGGCTGTCCATCATTTTCAACCGTCTGATCAGATGACTTTTTTTTTCCAATCTCATTGATCTCCAGGCCGAATTAAAAAAATAAAAAAAGGGGCCAAGGGATATGCATGTCATTTCAGACAACATCACCTCACCTTCTATCCCAAACAAATTATTTTATTTTATTTTTAATCAGTCGTTGTTTCGTCCTTAACCTCACCCAGTCGGTACACGACCTGTACCATCCTCCAATAGAATGGTACGGTCGGATCAGGGTAGCAAATGAGATCAAGCG